ACAAAATTCCAAAGGTTTTGATCATTATACTAACATTCTTGAGGTTTCAAATTTTTTTAACAGAACCCTTCCGCTAAAATTCCATCCAAAAATTGCTAAAGACATAAATAAAAAATTCTAAAATAAAAAATTTACTCTTATAACTAATTACATAGACAACCTCGAAGATTTTGGAAATTACAATAAGACCCCGTGAGGTTTTGACATGCTTTCATATAACACCTTCACTACAAAAAAAACACAGGGCAAATATGTTTTTTTTGGGCCAAAGTTAGGAAGGGGAAGGGGGGGAACTCACACACACGAGTACCATGGTGACTCAAACCTAAGACCACTTGGAAGCAAACCAAAGGTCGGGACTAATCCAAATAACACTCCATTGATCACTGGACAAATATGTTGAATAACCCAGATAATCTCATGAAGTGTACAATGTTGTTTAGTTACAGTAAAATGAGGGAGTACAAAAAACAGGGTGTGATTTTGAATTTTTTTTAATACTGCTACTTTTTGAAAGAAAAACCAAAGAAGTTTTCTTTTAATTAATTTGTTAATTTATAGAGAGTGAAAAAGGTGCAAAACGAATTGAAGTTTGTGTCAATGTTTTGTTAAGAAAGTGAAAAAAGTGCAAAACGAATTGAAAAACTACTTTAAAATCAGAAACAACATTTTTTTAATACAAGTGATAGTCTAACTTAAGAGGAGGGGATTTCTCTTACACAAACACACGACCAATGTGCTATAGGCATTTGAACTTGAAACCACTCGTTGGATGAAATGTTGAGGATTTCGACGGTATGGGGGAAAATGGCCACACAAAAAAGTTCATATCCTTAATTTTTTTATAAATTTTAAATAAATAAAAAGTATAAGGGATAAAACGAAAATTAAGTTTCTATAGGTGTTCCATTCTTATGAATATTGATTTTGTTGCTTGTTCTGATTAGCTGGGAGACTCACTTTGAAAACGCCTTATTAGCTGACATCCTATTATGCTTATGGTTAAAATATGATTTAATAAGTAAGATGATACCACTGTGATTTGTGTAAAGACTAGTTATGCTGATGTCAGTTGTAAAATTTGAAGGTTTGTGATTTACTTGTTCAAGGAGAAGTCTTGATACTAACAATGCTTTTTGTAATTGGGCTTTGACCATGCTACCTGACTTGAGAGCTCTCTTAGTTGTTTGTTTGTGTTCATTTGCTGTGAATTTTTCATGTTTATTTACCTGAGGAATACTTGTTAGCCTTGACCTCCATTTGGATACGAAAGAATGAAGTTTCCACCCCGCTCCAGCTGGGTTTTCTGTTTGTATCTTTCCTTTCCTCTATATAATATGTGCTACCATGTGAGCATTTGGACTTGTTCACCAGCAACATGTGCAGGAGTAAATCAGATTTACTATCAATCATGGGATCCACAATGAACATGCTGCCTTCATTTTTCTATTCTTTGAATTTAATCTGATAGAAGATATTGTTTCCTCTGCCAAGAAAATATTTCCCTTTTACCATTTGTTGAGGAATCTTTCAATGAACATGAGCAAATGAAGGCATAAAATGTCTCAGTCTCTTTCACACAATAAAAATCAATGTGCAACCTGTATTTAGGCCATCTTTGTTGACCATATCTACTGACTCATAACTAGCACTAATTTCTCTTTATTCTTAACACAATCTTCAACATCCTAGAAATTTTTCTCCATCATTTAAAGCCTCAATGTGAAGTTTCTGTATGCTTGTTTTGCGAGCACCAAAGTCATGAATAAGTCCGATGACTATTTAGTTTAGCAACACTTGTCTTCATTTTGTTGGAGAAAATTTGAATCTAAGTCTTAATTTTTTTTAATGATAAGCAATAAAATATTATTGATGTGCTATAACTTGTACAAGTCTGAATTCGTGTTGAGGACAAAGGACAATTCCTTAATCATAAATTACAATCCTCATACAATGCATCAGAAATAAAATCAGGGAATTCCTTAAACTAGTACATAAAAGTTCTAATATGAAAGGCAAAGTATGCTATACGATGAGCCACACCATTGGCAGTACAATAAATATAGGTAAAACCTTCCCCAATGACTTGTGTCAGCAAGTTTTTGGTATCCTCCACCACTGGTCCAATGACAGACTTATCTATGGATTTACTTCGAATTACTGTAACAATCTGGAAAGCATCATTTTGAAAGTCTAAATCTTACTTGCTGGCTCATTAAAAAACAATAATTTACATAAACAAATGTAAGATTAAATAAATAAAAAATTGTACTAAAATTATTCAGCAGGTGTTCACTTTTTATGGACGTACTGTTACTTGTTAGAAAATTCCGTAGTTAAACTCAACCACTGTAACAGAAAGATTGGTACTCAATGACCAAGTTGTGGTCTTCTAGAATCGAACTTAATGCTTAGCCAATTGTGGGCCAAGTCCTGTAAGTCAAAAGAATCTGTTTTCTTAGTCTTTCCCAAATGTAAAGCTTGGGAGCAAGATGGTATTAGTCCAGATCCAACCAATTTCACCTCTTTTTCTCTTGTTAAGCTTGACATCACCAGCCCACTTCTATCCTCAACCAACTCAAGTTTGGTGCCAAAGTCAGTGGCAACTCAAAATCAGCTAATTGATGCAATTAATCTCATTATTTTTGGTTTATAACTTTAGCAGTTAAGAGTATTTATCTTTTTATTTAAAAACAAATGCTCTTATTTTAGGTTCATTAAAGAAATAGAGAAAGGGAATAGTGAGCTGGAATTGTCTTTGATTTGACGAAATAATTCAAAAGTAAACATTCCATTAATTCAAATGGAGGAGATGAATTTCTATTATGGATACTCATGTGTTTACTTTCACATGGAGGAATCAAAATGCGAGTGGGACCCACACAAAATAAGGAATTCAACTCCTGATTTTGTAGGAATTTGACTCCTGGGTGGGAGGTGGTATTCTAATTCCTGGAAAACTAACACATTAGGAATCCATCTTTTTTATCCATTATATCCTAGCTCAATTTTAAAAATTCCAAATTTGTCATCAACTTTAACCCAACAACAAGGGCATTTTAGTAATCAATTTGTTTCAATTCCAATTCATGTGAATTTACTAAAGAACTTATTTGGTTTAGTAAACAACTTCAATGGGAACCCGGAATGTAACTCTCCTCAATCCAACTCCTCCTCAGTTTCATATTAGTAAACATGCCATAAGTCAAAAGAGGTAATATTCTCGACATTCGTTGAATAGGTAAAGGAATACAAATGTATTGGCTCCCGGTAAAAAAAAAAGGTTAAATTTTTTACTTTTTTTTTACATTAAAAGGAAAAAAATCATTATTTTCTATTATAGAAAAAAAAAAAAAAAAAAAAAAAACTCATCAAGAAATATTACGTTAGTATAGGTTGTGTTTGGTGGCTTGTGAATGATTTCCCACATTTGGTAAGTTTAGGGATGTAAAAAAAGCATTCACAAGCATTAAGTATATATATATTTTATGACCAATATGCCGTTATTAACAATTAAAAATACCAAGGCATGCATTAGTATACTTTTTATTGCATATTTTTAATTTATGGGTGTAATAATTGGAAAACTAAACCAAGTGTGTGTTTCATTCCTACACAAAACAAACATGGAAGAAAAAAAAAGATATTTCCTACTCACTTTCCTAACATTATCAAACATTGGAAAGAACTCTTTGATTTCCCTTCCCTAAAAAAGACATGAGGATTGATTCAATTCCTTTTCGTGAACCAAACGAGGCCTAAAATAAGGCTAACTAATGCGTTTTATACAATTTTTGTGTGTTTAAAGTAGCATAAACAGTACAAATTTTTTTGAGTAATAAGTTCATGTCTCCAACAACAAAATAAATAAATAAATATGTTCATGTCTGTCAATTCATTTACTTTGCACTTATTATTTCCTTTATACATTTATTTAAAAAATTCATGGTACCTCACTAACATTCAAATCATTAGTTTGACCAAAGTCAAAATTATAAAAATAGAAAACTAACAACTTTTGGCTGTGCAAGACTCGATCGACCTGGCTCCTCTTCATTTTCAATTAGGTTTAATTATGTTCACAGGTCACAATCATACAATTTGCAAAATGTTTAACAATTCAACGCGTTTCTTTTCTCAACTCTCTCATCCTATGAACAAAGTCATCATGCGATGTATCCATGTAAATGAATTAAAAAATAATAATAATTTAGAAAAAGTAGTTTGAATTTTGTAACACCATTTCATTTGATAAAGGCGTTGGACAACAACCAGCCTTGCCTACCCCCAAAGTCCCAAACCCACCCACCATCAAAATGCACCAAATTTTATTCTATTCCCACTTCAGCCACCCCCCCTTGCTTGGCCCTTAATATTAAATTGGATTGGTTTTACGATTAATATTGGATTAGATTGGATTATATAAAGCATATTTGAATAAGAAACAAATTTAGAGTTAAAAAATCTCATTTTGCAGAGATGAGAAGACATAAGTTATAAGGTGTTAATATCCCGTCATTTTAAAGATAATAAGTTTCTTTCATGACTAATTCATCTTCTATATTCAAATTTCGATAAAATTTAGAAATTGAACTTCATAATCCAATCTTAAAGACCACGTTGGGATCCCATTGTTATGGTCAATGCCCAGATCCATAAATCATACAATTTTTCCCTCTCCACAAAGATGGCAATAGGACTACATATAAAAGAAACTGTTCCAACACACATGTCAAACTGTGATTTATTTGTATAGAGAAATGATTTCCCGATAAATTAATCAAAAAGTTAAGTCCTGTATTAACAATCATTTAGATTGATAGCATAATTCATATCAGATCAATAACTATTTGAGTATCAACCATCATTTAATCATGTTAATGACCTCATCCCTGAAAATAAAAAAATAACCGCAGTAATTAGAAAAGGAAAAAAGTTTGCCAATGAATAACCCAAAATCTCAATGTGTATAGGCGTTTTGCGTCAATAACAATACTGAATCAAACAGAGAAAAGAATAATAAACTCATTGGTATCAGCCTTCTTGGGACCAAAACACCGCATCTGGGCCGTCGCAGCATCGCCGCCGGAAGTGGTGGCGCCGCCGCCAAAGTTGTGGAGGTTGTGGTGGTCTTCATGGCTGGGCGGAGGCGGATGGTAGTACATGCGGCTAGTCTGAGGGCAATGAGAATAAGATCTGGCAGCGATTCTCACTCCCTGATCCAAAATCTCCACCAGCTTGATCCCCATCTTGCTCTCTGGTTAATCTCTGTGTGTTGTATATTGTGTATGACTTGTAAATATCTCTCTCCTCTCTCTCTCTCTCCCTCTTCTCTCTCTAAAATTGTTGGAGAAAGAAAGGGCGAGAAAGTGAAAGAAAATGGAGGAAAAGGAGAAGAAGTGGAAGTCGGAATTGGAACTTAGAAGACGTCCCAGGCGTCGGAGCCCATAAAATGGGAGAGGAGAGACGAGAGAGGGAGAGACAGAGAGAGAGGTTTCTGTGACGGCAGAGGGCTCATGTGGCTTTGTTTATATAGCTGCCTGCCTTCGCGTTTTCCCTAGCCTAATTCGTTTATTTATTTATTTTTATTAATTGTTTTTTTGTCCGTCTATTTGGTGGTGCTTCGTTGGTCTTTCCTTAATATTTTTGCCAATTGGGTTTCTTTTTAGGTGCTTCGTTGGTCCATTCTTCTTATTTGTGTGTTGAACCTTTTAAAAAACGGATTTGCAAACCAATCCTTTCATTTACCGTCCTTTTAAATGATGAAAAATAATTTGAAATTTAGTTAAAAGTCGAGAATTTAATAGCTAAAAGTCAGGAATTTATCTTGTTTGGCAACTTAAGTACGGAATTTATTCAATAACACGCGGAAAAAATCGTAGAAATTGGCCATCAAATTCCTGATTTAATAGGCGTCATTTTTCAATTTTCATAATGTCATTTTACAAAATTCAACGTATATAAATCCAAATACTGAAATCTTAAACTGCCGGAAATTGAAATTATGTAAATTGAAATTTCGTTATTTTAGAATTTTATGCAATTTTCAATTCCTTCATCCAAATAGAGGATTATAGAATTATAATTAAAATCACAAAATTTGTTTATGTGATTGTGTGTTTTAAAAGAAAACCAAAAGAAAACCACTATGTACAAATAGGTAATCTCTTCTTCAAGGCAAGGAAAGGATTCTAATGCTTTTTTTTCTTTTCTTTTTTTCTTTTTTTGAAAAGGAAAATGACTCTAATTCTAAAAAGGTTAACTTGAGTAACAAGTCAAGTATAGAGGAGTGTATCTTAAAAAATGTAGCTATGTGGGGTGTGAAACTCTCCATTTACATAGTTGTATCCTTATATCTAGTCTCTTAATTTCTTCTTGCACTTTGTAAGTTTTGTTTAAGACGTTACATTGAACTATATTGTAATTCAGAAAATGATTTCAAATAATATAAGATAATAAACTCATGTAAAAGCATGAATCAATATGAATCCCAATAACTAGACAATTTCAAATAAATTGGACTCTAATTAAATCTCATACCGTACCATGAACATAGAAATTATTCTTTTAGTGCAGTCCAATCCAATCCAGCATAATATTTAATCAAGTCCCATGTTGAAAAGCAAGAGAAAAAAAAGAGTAAGTCCCTTGTACTAAATTGAATTAGTAGTCAATTGTCTACATATTTGTAGGGGAAAAAAATTAATTGAGAGGGGGCAACTCGAGAATAAAATAAGTAGACAAGACAGAGATACAAATATAAGAAAATAGAAGGGCTTGGATGAAAGCGTGTCCAGTTAGGAACCGCAACTTCCGGTATTACTGGGTGGTTGTGTAGTTCTAAATATGCGTGACATGTTCGCCGCGTTGTAACTACCATTACGATATCACACCAACTCTGGCTGGCACTTCTAGTTTTTAGGCCCTTATTTCCTCACTACCTTGTTTTACCGGCATTCTCTCTCCAAGTCCAAGTTATAACCTTTTAGTTTTGTGTTTAATTACTTTTAGTTGCCACTAATTTCACTTGTCATTTGATCATGATGATCAACAAAGAAAATGGCTGAACTAGTGGAAAAAACTTTTATGTCACTAAGATAGCACTGTTTTGTTATTACTAACTAATCGCGTTTCGTCACACATAATTGATTGGGATAGCAAAACATCCCAACATTTCTACCACATTGACCTATCACGAGTTTATAAGGAGTTGGGCTCCTTATACATTCATGCTAAAAGTGAAGTATAGGTGCAATATCCACTAACGGACCTAGAAATTTCATTATAAAAATAATTTGCTAAGGAAAGAACAGAAAAAGTGTGTCTGCATTTGAGAAAAGTAGCTGAATTGCCGTATTGAGAAAGAATTCCCGAATTGGAAACTATCTTCACCTGCGATTAATTTAAGCCAAACAATTAATTTAACAAGAAGAAAAAGAGAGCTTGTTAAAAGCCCTTTTGTTTTATAGCCCTTTATCATGTTTTAAGCAGCCCATACATCAGAGCTTGTTGAAGCCCACGAATTACTTCTTCTTTTTTAAGCCCTGGTCCAAAATGACGTCATTTTGGCATGGATGTTTTGAAGAAAAAAAAAGATAACCCAGCGCATAACAACAACCCAGCACCTTCAAGCCTTGGTTGAGGCAATTCATCGAACACCTGGAGCACACCACCAAACCTCAACAAAGGGGCAACATGCACCTGCATCTCCTTGTTACTTAATAGGTCTGCTAGTGGCAGTATCTATTAAGTGACAACCATCATTTCCGAGCTGGTATCACAAGTAAAACATCTGAATTTCATACAATGTGCCTTATATTGAAGTTGGTATTCAATAAGAGAATATGTCATGAAATTTCCATACTCGAAAAGAAAACTCCATTTTGGATTTTAACCTTGTTCTTATGGCAAGATCGATAAATTCCTCGTGTTAAAAAATTAGTATATATTCATGATTTCTTATTATATGTAAAACAAGAAGATTATGGACTATTAGGGAATATGTCTACGTGCATTGTTATTTTTGTTAATATAAAAAATAAAAAATAAAAAATAAAGGGACAGCTATGTAACTAAAAGAGTATACAAGACAAAGATATAAATATGAGGAAATACAGGGGCCTTGTCAACCACAAGGATCGATTTTACCGGGATGGAGACTTGTCAGGATTCTGCTTGTAAATATGCGCAAAATGTTCGCCGCGTTGTGAGCTGTGTGACCTACCACCAACTCTGTAACTGGCAATTTTAATGTCTTTCCAGTTATACCCCTTATTTATCAATTTAATTACATGCATGCGTCTTTCACATTTTTTTTTGACTTTATTTATTATTTTTTGACTTGTTCCACGCTCCCATGACTATTCGTCCTCTAGAATATATTGTGCACCTGCCCAACCAACCAATCAAATTTACCCTTTTATTGAAAAAGAGATGTCCAAAGAACCGAAAGTCTCTAAATTTTATAGGAGAGCATATAATTCCAAAAAGAAAAAACAACGAAAAGGTCTATATTCTCAATGACGATTTTTATTTGCTAACTGGGTTTAGAGCAATTGGTTTTTTTATTGAGCCTAAATTTGAATTAAAAGATTAATTTAAAGTAGTTTAGAATTTTTCTTTGTATTAAAAATTACTTTTACTTACTTTGTTTGGTTATATATTTATTAGTCTCTTCGCAAGCACTTTCGCTCTTGCGAGAGGCTTTTTAAAAAAATTTAAAATTTATTTTATAATTTAAAAAAATAGGATCAATTATTTGATTTTTCTTTTAATTTTGAATTTTTTTTAACATGAAAAAGTGTGCATTTACTATATTATCCTCATTTAATTAATAATTTCAATTCTTAACTTTTCCTTTACCAAGGGCATTTTATGATATTTTGAATGTTTCACAATTCTTTGCCTTTTGCTATATATATATAGATTAAGGTTTCAAAATTAAAATTCAAAGTTGGTTTGTGGAGCTCGTGCCTTTGATGATTCAGAACATTGATCCTTACCTCCTCCCACAACTATTGTTTGATCAAAATATAAGTCAAGGTTATTTAAATTTTGAAGGAGGGAAAGGAAGATGGAGATGACGAATATGAGACAAACAAATGCATGAAGAATAAATAAATTAGTTTCTAAAATCCTCAATCGGCGCAGTAACTTCTTCCTTAAATACCCCTTCGGCAGGGTCACCAAGGTCGTATCCCAAATCAGTGTTTGATCAGAGCAGAGTATTCCGTCGGTACCTTTGAATTGAAGTGAAGTCATTCAGTCGAACATTGAGTTTGTGTAAGTAGCCTTTGCCAAGTTTAGTGAAACATGTTCTTCGGCATCTGTGGACTTCATTTGCACATCAGTGTCCAAGTTGCCAAATCCGCGAGGTTGACTGCGGTATGAACAGTATAAAAATTAGTTTCTAAAAACCTCTTAAGTGTTGGTGTTAAGATAGAGCTTTCTGAAAAAGGACTTTGTCAAATTGACCCCTTAAGCTCCATTCCTCCTATATATTCATAGCAAGATGAAACACTTGCAAAACTGTGGGAAATCTCATGTAAAAAAGCATGCTGCATGCAGTGGTTGTTCTTTGACACAATTAATTTAAAATATAAACAAAAAATTTGGTGTGTGATTTTATTTATTTATTTGAGGAATATACAAACAGAAAATCCAAATCCAGGGCATCATATCCAAAATCCACATGCATGCTCCCATAAGAAACAAACAGGTTGCTTTTAAAATTGTGCAGTTACAAGTTGCTTGTATAAAATAAAGTAATAGAAGAAAGAATAAGATAGTATCCCCTCCTCCCCTCCTCGTACTAAAAGATGCCGATTAGTAGTTACCTTGCTAAAGAATTTATTCAATTAGAATCACCCTTTACAATTGTTTATCTCAGAAAAGAGAGATGCGGGACCAGGGGCGGAGCTAGAATTGTAAAGTTGGGGGGGCCGCAAGTATATAAAACACTTAAATATTCAATAATTACATGTTTAGAGCTAAATATTTCTAATTGAGTCATGTCTAATTTGTTTTAGGGTAAATTTTAACTTAAATTATAAGTTGTTTATTACAAATTCTATATGTTATTTATAATATAATAGATGAGAGATAAATATATGGAGGGACCAGGGCCACTCCAGGCCTGGGAGTGGCTCCACCACTATGCGGGACCAAGCACACTAAGCAGTGTTCTAGCCTCTCCTGTTACTAGATCAAATTAGTACGTGTGATGGCTTGAGGTCCAAGTAACAGACCTTGAGATGGTCCAATTTGTTGTTTACGATAGGCGTGCCACTGTTGGAACATGGATCAACCAAACATAAAGAAATTAGTTGATTAAATATGTATCTTTAGTGATTTATGCGTTATAATTTGATTTCTAATTTATCAAGCCATTGTGCTCTAAGTGGGGAATTGGCTAAGATTAGTTCTTTTCTATGCCTTCTATGAACTAAAGACGTTTAAAATTCTACTTTATGCGCTGGTTTTGTTCATATCATGAAGGATTAACCCCTGATCGGGCTAGAAATGCCCATATCAGGCTGGGAAACCTTTGATATGGCTGGATATTGGCATATCGGACTAGAAATACTTAACCAATTTATGGCTTTCTCCCAATCCGATGTAAAAGTAAACAAGTATAAAATACTAAATGTGTGCTCTTAAACTTAAATTCAATAGAAAGACATGATTTAGAATTGAAGATTTCTCGATTCAATTTGTTATCAATGCAAACTTAAAGTAAATGATAGAGAACAACTCTAAACTGAAGATTTCTCGATTCAATTCATTGCAGTTACATACTTTAAATGAATAGCGTAAAGTAAATATGGTAAATTGAAGTACTGGTGTTGAAAATGAACAAAGCCTAGCAACTAGGAATCGATACCAAGTGTTGGCAGAGCAATAAACTAAAAAGATAACTCTGGATATCTTGATGCGAGAGAGATTTGTTGAGTTCAATGAGATCAAGGATTGATTGAGTATGAAGTCTTTTTATGCGAAGAAAGTTGAGTTGATTGTCGGTCACTTGAGCTTTGGGCTCTGTCTCTATTTATAGGCTTATTGGTTCTTGAAATTGCACGCTTGGTGAAGAGATGGTTGAGTCTGTGTTAGTTCTTTCTTTGCACTTTAAACGGGTGAACAAGTACATTGATTTTTGCACCGTCGATTGTGGCTTTTCCTAGCGTGACACTTTCTTCGACAAGTTGGTGTAGTATAGCTTCATGGTTCAAATCACATTTAATGTTGTTGCTAAGCCTTTCTCTTCCCCATTTGTGGGAATTTTTGTGTGTATTCTTCTCCTCGTAGGAGGTTGTATTTATAATACAATAAACCCTTGTTTGTAGGTCAAGGAAAGTAATAACTCCTAATTCTATTTACAATAGGAAATGATGAATTAAAGTAAATCAATTACATTTAATATAGGAATCCTTGGCGTGTAAGGAAAGTAATTGCAGGTCCACAAGTCACGCCAACACTTCTCCTCAAGTTGGTGCATAGATATTGCCAATGCCTAACTGGTCCAGTGAGTTGTGGAACGCTTTACTGGAAACTACATTTGTCGAAATATATGCAAATTGATCCTTGGACTTTACGAATGGAAATTGAATCACTTTAGCTTTGAGCTTCTCTTTGATATAGTGTCGATCCACCTCAACATGTTTGGTGCGATAATGTTAAAGTGGACTCTGTGCAATAGCTATTGCAACATTGTTGTCACAAAAGAGATTTATTGCTGACATGGATCGATACCCAAGTTTAGTAAGCAACCTATGTAGCCAAAGGAGTTTGCAAATTTCTTTAGTCATACCTCTGAACTCAGCTTCTGCACTAGATATAGCTATTACCTTATGTTTCTTGCTCCTCCACATCACTAAATAACTTCCCAAGAATGTAAAGTAACAAGATGTAGATCTTCTGTCTGTTACACTCCTTGCCCAAAATGCATCTGTGTAACCATCAATATTCATATGACCATGTTTTGAGAACATAAGTCCTTTGCTAGGTGTAGACTTCACATATCTAAGTATTCAGATAACTGCATTCATGTGATCTTCACTTAGAGAATGTATAAATTGACTGCCTACGTTCACTGCATAAGCGATGTCTGGTCAAGTATATGACAAATATATCAACATTCCCACTAACCTTTGGTATCTTTCTTTGTTAGTTGGAACTTGATCTAGGTATTCTCCAAGACAGTGATTCTGAACAATAAGAGTGTCTACAAGTTTGCAATCTAGCATTCTTGTGTCTGTCAATAAGTCCAAGATATATTTCTTTTGAGATAGAAATATTTCTTTCTTTGATCGGGCTACCTCAATCTCCAAGAAATACTTGAGTCCACCTAGATTCTTCATCCCAAATTCAGTAGCTAAATAGTCTTACAGCCGAGATATTTACTCTTCATCACTCCAAGTAATAATAATATCATCAATATAGATTATTAAAGATTTTACCTTTCCTTTCTGATATTTCAAGAACAGAGTATGACCTGAATTGCTATGCTTAAACCCATAATTCCTCATTGCCAACGTGAATTGTCCAAAGCATGCATGTGGTGACTATTTCAAACCATATAGTGCTTTTCACAACTTGCACACCACACTTGTCTGAGTAGATCTTGTATATCCTAGTGGAATGTCCATGTACACTACTTTTGTGAGTTCACCATGTAACAAAGCATTTTTTACATCAAACTGATGGAGTGGACAATCTAGGTTAGCTGCAAGAGATAGTAGAACTATGATTGTCATAGGTCTGTGTGTACCTTTTCGCCCCAAGTCTGGCCTTGTATCTTTCAACGAACCCATCGACATTGTGTTTGACAGTAAACACCCATCAGCATCCAACTATTCTTTTTCCTAGTGGTAATATCTCTAGTGTCCACGTCTGATTTTTCTCCAGAGCCTTCATTTCTTTTTTTATATATTGGGTCTACTTTGGATCTTTCAATGCTACAGTCACCTTAGTGGGAATGACAATAGTAGACAACTGATGCATAAATGCCTTCAATGGTTTAGGCAATTTTTGAGTGGACACATGATTGGGAATTGGGTACTTCAATGTCTTCCTAATATCAGGAGAATATCAGTTTGATTGTTTTCCACCATTTTGCTTGAAAGGTAATTGGTATCCAATAGAATCATCAAATAAATACACGAGAAGGCATTCGGTTGAGCAAATAAACAACAGTGACGATAGCATCATCCAAGTAGTGGCAAGGAACATCAGCCCCAATCAAGAGTGCGCATGCTATTTCGAGGAGAAGACGATTCTTTCATTCAGCAACACCATTCTGTTGCAAAGTTTGAGGACAAGTCGTTTCATGGAGAATGCCATGTGTATGAAAATACTTCTGAAAGTCATGATTGACATGTTCTCCTCTATTGTCATAGTGAAGGATGCGAATTTTGGTAGAGAATTGAGTTTCAATTTGTTTGTTGAAGGATTTCAACATAATAAACAATTACATTTAATATAGGAATTTTTGGCGTGTAAGGAAAGTAACGCCAACACGTTTGATTTTCCGCACTTGTCGAATTCAACTTTGAGTTTCAACTTGGATAATCGCTCCATTAACCTGGTAAAAGCAATTTTAAAATGTAAACAACGAATTTATTTTGGAGAGTCAGAAATATTGGGCCTACACTTCTAAGCGTTTAAATGTACTAATTTCAAACAACTCAAGGCCCATTTTGATTAAAAACATCCCTAAATGGGCTTTTTTCAGTTTAGGTCCACACAACAATTTTAATTAGTTTCTATTTATTATTATTATTTTTTACGGGGAGAGTTCTATGTACATAGCATTTACCTCTATATTCACGATCCGAGTTTGAGTTTCTCATCGTCCACTCTAGGAACACCCTTCGGTGCAAACAAATGGAATCATCACACACCTTTATTAGTGACATCTTTTTGTGAGAACAAGTGGATTGACTACACAATACTTGCAAATTTTTTAATTCACCTATATCATCAGTCTCGTTCTCTTGGACCCCTATGGTCCAAGAGACTTGTGGTCACCCACATTTGAATCTAATTTAAGGGTTTAGAAAAAAACTAGTTTAAATTTTCTTTTACTTTTACTGAATGACATATTAATTTTACTTGAATACCAAAAAAAAAACAAACAAAAAAACCTCACCCTAAAACACATTCTAAAACTTCAAAATCTCAAGATTGTTTCTTGCTCAACATGTTATCAATGAAAAACAACATAGTTGCAATAACCCGAGATTAAAATTAATGTTTGACAAAAAAAACTAAGATTTATGAAAATCATATTAATCAGTCAAAGAGAAGGAAAAACAATTGTAGAAAATTTCAAACAGATTTCTTTTGGATTGAATCGACTTATGGTTACACTTAGTGCCATTCTGCAAAGAAAAAAAAATTCAGAAAAAAAAAAACAGAAAAAAAAAAAAAAAAAAATCAGATTAGCCTTTGCATTCAAATATAAAATTAGTGATTTGTTTTGTATTGATAATTGATGCATATGCACATGGTAGTCGACAAAAATCACACACTTGCAGAGTATGGGATTGACGGAATATAGTTCCAACGAGAGGAGATGTGTACTGGGAATAATTCATGCAGTTCCGAAATAAATAAAAATGAAAATTTCTCAAATATGAGTTCATGAACCACTCAGATTTATGATTTCAAATAAGAAAATTGAGTGCAAAAGTGAAAAGGAGCAAGAACCTGAGCTTGGTTGTGGGAGCCTCAAAGTTTAATCACATTGAAATGCGAGGGATTGGGTGGCTTTTGATTTTCGCTCGCGACGCCGGAGTCGGAGGTGCTGCAACTGCGAGTCATGGGGAAGAAGATGTCACAGATAGCACGATATTGTCTGCTTTGGGCCCCCTTCTCTGCCCTCACGGTTTTGTTTTCGGGAACTCACAAGTTCAAACTCGCTTAAATTCCCAGTGGGTCACTCATCCTGGGATTGCTCTAGCCCAAACTTGCTTAACTTCGGAGTTCCCATGACTCCGAAGCCAGTGAGCTCTCAAAAGGTCTCGTGCTAGATTGAGGTGGGCATGTACGTATAAGGCATATCACCCTCTCTCCATTGGTAGATGTGGGATTTTACCGAAGAACACTTTCAAAGATTTTGGGGTTAGAAAGTGTTTTAGTGTGAGACCCTTTTTTTATAAAATTTTTTTGTTCAAGTTAAATTAATATGTCATTCAGTAAAAGTAAAAAAAAAAATTAAACTAGTTTTTTCTAAATCCTTAGATTAGATCTAAGGGTGAGTGATCACAAATCTCTTGGACTATAGGGATCAAGATATTAATAAATGACATAAATATGACGATTTTGTGAGTCGATGAGGTTTAGCTACAAATTTTGGTTTAATTTCTTTTTGATCGAAAATGATAATTTCATTCACGAATAATCCGAAAGAGGGCTCCATCTATCACACAATTAGTAATGACTTTGATGGCTCATGCCAGAAAATAAAATTGGACAACCTTGCAGTCTCTGTTTTCTGTTCAAGTATTTGCCAATTGCCAAACTCGGTTCATTACATTTCTCTCTCTTCACTGCTGCTTTCTAAACTTGGTCATATGATAGGAGAAGAATTCAAACATTCCAATAAGCGAAAAATCAATAAAAGGAAAATAATGGCTCATGTTACACTAATTTTCTTGTGTGTGTGTTTTTTTCCCCTGTTCCATGGACTTGTGTCGTGCAAGCTATTCTTCAGTAAAATTGTTGGGTCTCTTAAGAAGAAGAGGATGAGATTTAGGGATTTCAAGAGAATAAGGAAGAGAGAACGTAAGAAAGGAAATAGCCTTGTAATTCTGTATTTCTGATTATGTGTAAACGAATGGTAAACCATGGATGCCGAAAATCCCCGCTGGGAGAGGTCCCTTCCAGGGAAAGATGTTGGGGGCGGGGATCTCCAAATTTTAAAAATCTCCAATTCAGTATGGACCGGGGATTGTATTGTTATCCCTATCTCCAAACCCGGTCTGACAAGTGATATATTTATTTTTACTTAATAATTATATAATTATATAATAGAACAAACAAAAAGTTATAGTTGATAATATGAAGTTTTTTCAAATGAAATTGAGATGATTTTCATTAGTTTAGTTGAATTTATGTTTCAATTGAATATAACTAAGTTAATTGATAGTTTAAGTGAAATTAAGTGTTATAATGTAAGATACATATATTTTTTAAATAAAAAAATTAGGAATTCGGGGCGAGTTTGGGAGACAACCCCCTGACAGGAGCGAGGACGGGAGAATTCCCCGAAAATTCTTAGAGCATCCACAATGGAAGGGTGTATAAGGGGGTGTATGTTAAATATACACCCATTGTCACCGGAATCATCTCCAATGAGGAGATGTAAAGGGTTGTAAACATACATCACCACCATGAAGATGTAAAATAAAATGCACATTTGCATATATTTTTACATCTTTTGCAGGCGGACCCACTCGAGAAAAGAGATGAAAAATTATACATCTTAGATTTATATCGTTTCCTATTGGAGCAAAAAATGTATTTACATTCCTTGGAGGTGTAAAGGGGATGTAAAAGTGGTTTTACACTCCCAAAAAAACACCCCTCACTGTGGATGCTCTTATCAGGGATGATATTGCCATACCCAATTCCTAACCTGCCCTACGATCCTAGATCAATCCAATATATCAATTTTTTTACACCAAAAAAATAGACCCACTATATCAATAAATATAGTCCACTAAATTGTTTCTCAGGGAACAAAAAAACAAAAACCAAGAATGAAGTTCATATATACTCCCCCTTTTATCTCTGTCTCTTCCTCATAACGTTTTAATCTAGTGGCATATAGTCTTCACTTTATTAGAAATTTTCTCAATTTAAATTATGAACTACGGTTGTTGATGAAAGAAAAACATTACCAACTTTTAAATCCTAACCAATGTTTTCAAAAGGATGCTAAAATTGTGCATCATATGCATTTCTCAATCTCAATCCTTACCGACTCCCCCAACGTCCCCTTTTTTTCTCATCTCCTCCAACATGACTTTAGTGTAGTTTAGACGATCATTTGTACATTTGTTCCACATACAAAAAAAATTATCGCTTGTATTAAAAATAAAAAAGCAGAACTGGGCTTCCTTAGCCCAAAGATAAGGTTATATGCGTGGTCCAAAAACTATGAGGAAATAAGGACCTTGTGTAATTTCAATTCATTTGCATCCCAAACTCAGGCGCATTTTAGACTCAGACGCAAAAAGGAAAACAACACTCAGGCGCATTTTATCACAACCCACTTGACCCTTATAGCTTGCGCTTCTCACCGTCTTCCTCTGAACTGAACCCCAAGCCATCCAGTCACTTCCATATCCACTTGACAGTCTCTGAACTGTCAACGACCACCGGCATAATGGAGCCACACCTCCTTCACCCCACTAACCTGCGCTTTTCAACCTCAACCTCCTTAACCTCTGCCACATATTCGATAACACTCTGCGGTGAACATGCCCATAAACGAAACCCAACAATCCATTGTCTTCATTTATCGAAACGGAGCTCCAACCCGTCTTTGAAGGCCAAAAAGGAGCTTTCTCGACTTCTGAGAACAGACGCTGCTGTTAGAAACATTGAGAAGAAAGCAAATTCCAACAAGTACAATAACCTTTGGCCCAAGGCTGTTTTGGAGGCTCTGGATGAAGCTATTGCAAACAATCTGTGGGAGAGTGCTCTTAAGGTTTGTGGGTCTTTTTTCTTTTCTTCTGTGTGTTTTGGGTATGAGTTTTGTCTTATCAGTATGTTGGATTTTTGGTTGTTTGGTTTCTGGGTTTGTGGAGTTATGTTCAGCCTCTGTTTGTTTTTTAAGTTTTACTTTTTTATTGTTTTGTTAGAAATAGTGGGGAATTAATAAAGAGATTATAAGTTTGAAAATATTGAGATATTAAGTTGGACAACCTCTCTGGAATGAAAAGTTGACAGCTTTAATTCAGTGGGAATAGGATTAGTTGTGGCTTGAGGCTTTCTGGGTTGGGGAGAAGTGAACTCTTTAGGTTTGGGGAAATTTATTGATTATGAACTAAGGCTTCTGGGTCTGTTACATGTTAAATTTCTCAATTGGTGATCGTATGTAAGAAGAGTTTGCTTAATTGAAATTGCTGTTCTATCAAAGAAGCAACAATTTCATTTTGATTAATTGTGCAAATGGTTAAATTCTAAAATCCTTGGTCATTTCAAAATAATTCTCTACAAAAATTTAAGTGCTATTTTTAGCATCCTGGTTTGGAACGCCACCCATATGCCACTGGATTTCTTTGAGTCTTCATTTCTCCCTTTTGTTCCGTCATCAAATTTTTTCTGATATAAAACAACTCTTCCTTTCTTTAGATTTTTGGACTACTACGTAAGCAACACTGGTATGAGCCGAGATGCCAAACATACACTAAGCTGCTGATGATGCTTGGCAAGTGCAGGCAACCTGAGCAGGCCAGCTTGCTTTTCGAGCTCATGTTAAGTGATGGGCTAACACCTACTGTTGACGTCTACACCGCTCTTGTTAGTGTTTATGGAAAAAGTGGCCTCCTTGACAAGGCGTTCTCTACTGTCGATGATATGAAGTCAGTTTCTGACTGCAAACCGGATGTATATACATATTCTATTCTTATTAATTCCTGCACCAAATTCAATCGTCCTGATCTGATTGAAGAAGTTCTGGCTGAGATGTCATATCTGGGGATCGGATGCAACACAGTCATATACAATACTCTAATTGATGGCTATGGTAAGGCTGAAATGTTTGAACTGATGGAGGACTCGTTGACAGACATGATTGAAAGTGGCAGCTGCCTTCCTGATGTTTTCACATTAAATTCTTTTCTTGGGGCTTATGGGAACTGTGGACAGATAGAGAAGATGGAGAAGTGGTATGATGAATTTCAGCTGATGGGAATAAGGCCAGACCCTAAGACATTTAATATCCTGATTAAATCATATGGGAAAGCAACAATGTACGAAAAGATGGGGTCTGTTATGGAGTTTATGCAGAAAAGGTTTTTCTCCCCAACTGTTGTTACTTATAATATTGTAATTGAGGTATTTGGGAAAGCTGGAAATGTTGAGAAGATGGACGAATACTTCAGAAAAATGAAGTATCAAGGAATGAAGCCTAACTCTATCACCTATTGTTCTCTTGTTAGTGCGTATAGCAAAGCTGGGCATATGAGTAAAGTTGATTCCATTTTGAGGCAAGTAGAGAATTCGGATGTTATACCGGATACGCCTTTCTTCAACTGTATTATTAGTGCTTATGGTCGGGCTGGTGATGTAAGAAAGGCGAGCGAATTGTTTTTGGCAATGAAAGAAAAAAAATGTTTGCCTGACCATATCACCTTTGCTACCATGATCCAAGCCTACAATGCACGAGGCATGACTGAGGCTGCTGAGGACTTACAGAAAAGGATGATTACCAACACGGAAAATTCAGGTATCTTAAAATGCCTTCCCCATTCTATGAGTTTCTATGTTTTCTCCCTTCTAATTTTGTATTTAACTATTGATGAAGTTACTTTGTTTTCTCTAGTCAATCCTCACATGAGGAAGGCATAAAAAGAATTCTACTTAGAGTTGTGCTAACTCAGCTCATGTGTTGCATTTTTAGAGGATTCTTCTATACCTATGTTTGTAACTTGAATGGTTGAGGGATTCATCAATTCAGCAGCTTGGATTTTTTATTTTACTTATTATTTGTTTAAATATAATTTTTAAAGAACTTAGCAGCTAGATTCTAAGTTATTGTCGTTAACATTCAAGAGTCTAGACGATCAAAATCTGATATGGGCTGGATGACGAGAGGCTCTCTTTCATTTCATAAAAATTCCCCAACCTCAGTTAAGGCGGGATTCTATTCCAATTGTTGGTACGATGCCAGAGACTTTACTAATATGCTAGCTAGTGTTCTCTGAAAGGACCGACTTTAGTCTGCTTTTACTATGGCTTATTTTTAATGAAATAATTTCTGCTTTTACTATGGCTTATTGATTATGGGATACATCTCATTAAACCGTTGCATTTTGCAGGCACAAGGTTGATTGGATGCTAGTATGTTAATTATATTGAAGAATAAACCTTCAAATATAAACAATTCAGACTTCAAAGATGGTCAAAACTTGGACAAATGATGATAGCTTTTGGCCAGCTATATTGTAGGTAATCATAACTTCTTATCCTCCTCTCTCTAATTATCTGGAAAGTTGTGTCTACTTTTATTAGTAATCTCTGCTGAATGTGATTGGGAGAAAAATATAACCATAAACGCAAATTCAGACTAAATGTTAATGGGTGTGACTCTGATATTGTGGTTAGAGGCTTGAGTAGATGTCCTTGGAAAGACATCATAGGATATTGACGCAGCGAGATATAGGGGAATAGGGAGATCGAACGATAACCCTAAAGTAACAGTGTTGGAATCCACCAAAAGATTGAGTAAAACTCAAAGGTTTTTGATTGATAATAAACTGAACTGTCACAATACGACGCCATGTGTTAGTTTAAATAGAAAACCTTAGGAAACCCTAGGTTCCAGAATATTCATAAACTTGGCTAATAAGAAAATAATAAAAATCCTAGCTAAAATCATATATTAGGAAAATAATATCCTAATAGATAACTTATTCTTAAAAATATAAAATAAAACATTAAAGTAAATATAAATCTTGACAGAGTCCATAATTGCTTCAAACTTCCTCAATCAATTTGAAAATCTCAACAATATGCCTTCCTCTTTTCCTATCGCCAAATTTGACATTTAATCAGAACTTTTCTCTCTTGCACGAGTTCCTTCCAACTTGGAGCCACTTTATTTTAATTAATTTTTCACACCATAATTGACCCATATTTTGCCCTACATTAGATATTAATTCTTTTATCCCTAACTTTGGTTAATGTTGGGAAATGGGGCGGACATTAGGTTCTAGAGGAGTTGTGGATGGGGAAGTTTTCTGTATGTTCTTTTTATCCATGTTTTTCATAAATTTTTCAAGTCACCTATATAACATTCCAATTGCCAATATGTCTGTTGATTCTTCTTTTGCAATAAGTTGGAATTTTAATTTCTGCACAAACTTGAATGATTTGGAGGTTATGGAGCTTTCTTCGTTACAACCACCGAAAAATATGTCCTTAGAATTGAGGAGATTGATAAAAGTTATAATAACTTGAGTCATCCCATGTGTTTTTTGTGTAAACCGTTTTTTAGCAGTTAATTAACGAATCATCTCCTCCCATTTTCGATCCTCTTCAGATGATTTGGAAAGCACAAGTGTCATATACGGCACAAGTTTTGGGATAGATTATGCTCATTGTAGAGTCAGTATTGCGACATTATCCTCAGGGGTATATCTCTATATCGGCGGGCCATGTGCTGAATGGGAGCTGAAAGTATAGACATATCTTTCTTCATTGCCCTATTACTCTAAAGCTTTGGCACAAACTGTTTTCGGAAGCAAATGTGATATGTGTGACTCCCCAATTTTGCATATTCTATGATAGTTGCTTTTGGAGGGGGGAAAGGAGCAGAAGTAATATGCAATAGTTGTCTAATGACTATTGCATGTGTAGTATCTAGTATGGATGGAACAAAACCAGAGGATTTTTGAAAACTTTAATGTGGATGAAGTGAAGGGGTTATGTGACATAATTTTCTTTTGGGCATCATTGAAGAGAAGAAGAGAGGGGGGGTTACTTGCTTGGTGCTTGCGCTAAGCAAGGCGGTCGAAGAAGGCTGCAAGTGGAAGCAACTGTATACGACCTCCTCTTCCCCTTCCACCAACTGCTACGCTTGCAAAGGATGCCATTGCCATTGCTAAGTCTTGGTTGCTTTTAATCATTGTGGGCTTCAATTTCATCAGAGATGTACCAATTTTTCTTATAGAAGCGTATTAGAAGGTGGTTATCTTTTGAGTTTTCTCTTGCAATGTATTTTGCATTTTATGTGAGATTCTTTGTATTTTGATGTTCATAGTTGCTGGTTGGTTATTTGTATGCGTTCCAAACTCCAGTGGGCTTCCTTGTACACTATGGTTGTACTTTCGTGTATAGCATTTTAATAAAATGTTTGTGTTCCTCATTTCTTTCGGTTATCTTCAAAATATGATAGCTTTTCAATTTTTTTTTGTCTGTTTACCCCTTCAGTATGCTTGACTTATAGCCTTACAGATGAAATTAGGTGAACTAATAAATTTCATTTTGGTGGATCTGAAGACATGTTTGTTAAAGGGAGAATGTACATGGCACAAAATGGCAATTCTGCATTGTTTATTTGGTTATTTGAATTGGCAATTGGATACAGAGAAAAGAAAATTAAGAAGTGGAGATGGCTTCAGCTGCAACAGACCTTTTGATTGGGAAAGTAGTATAATTTCTTGAAAACCAAGTCTCATTGTTAGGAGTTATGATCAAATTGTTGAATTCATAGACGAGCAAATGAGTTGGGGTCCATGCACAAGAATTCTCGGTCAAGCTATGTGTTTCCCCCAAGAATCTTTGGGGGAGGCATCGAATTTCAACCTGATTGCTAAAGATCATCAAAACAATAGAAGACATTCCATAAAGAAAACAAGGTTATCTTGTTGAACAAGGCATGAATACTTCCCATTATGATACGAAGGGGTGAAAATCTGCAGGGAGTGTCTCTTTTCCTTGAAGACGATAATCTCGCGGGCATCATGGATGCCAAAGAGAAGTTAGTTAGATGATTGTTGTCTGCACAGCTTCAAAAACTATAATTTCAATGGTTGGAATGGGAGATTTGGGCAAGACGACTTTAGTTGCATCACTTCTGCTAACTGGAAAATTAGAGAAGGTTCAAGTTTGGTTTCATTCCTTTCAGAGCCTTTACATTCTTGATTTTGTATTGGTCCAGGGGTTAACCCAAGATTGTCTTCCTCACTTCGAAGAACCACCCAATTTGACTAAACTTTGGCTGACAATGCATGTGTTGCTGCTAATGTGCTGTTATGATACATATCTCGTTGGAGACTTGATGATTATTATTTTTTTGGGTTTGAATAGTAGATTTCATAAAAGGCCAAAGCCAAAAGAGAGGCAAACAGAGACGGGAGTCCCAACCTGCATCAATACAGAGCACTCACCGGGAAGCCAAACAAACAACCCAGGAGGAAAAGAAAAAACGACACCTACAGATACAAAAGATCATAACTAAATACAGAGCCTGCACAGTGACCCAGGCTCCACCAAAATTAAGAAATGGGGGGGACATCGAAGACCATCCCTAGCCAAAACCAAGACCAATGAGGGAAGAGGCTGAGTAGCCCATCGCAGTGATCGCACCTCATTTGACATGGCTGCAGCAGCATGAGCAGCTTCGTTTTCCAGACGAGGGACCAACTCCCATTTAATGCCAGAGAAGAGAACCAGGAAGGAAGCAAGTCGTCTGATTTCCAATATAATAGGTAGGATTCTCCAGTTGCTTCTGTGTCGACTATCAGTAAGACAGGTGATCACCACTTTCTATTAGAATGCTGTGCAATACATGTAATTGGTATTGTTTTATTTCCTCCCTATTTTGTAGTCCTGGTTTATGAGGGATCCTTGATTATTGTAAGAGTTAGCCTTGCTGCCCAAGTGTTGTAAACCATATATAGTCGGCACTGGTTCGTGTTTTAATCATTCTTTTTCATTCAATAGTGGTATCAGAGTCCTTGGGCGATACCTAGGGTTTCTGTCATTCTTCTTTTTCTTTAGCTTCATCACACCACCACAACTCCGACAATGGAACAACTTCAATCCATTGCTCCAGGACTGTCAGCTGAACAATATGATTAAATCATGCACACAGTAGGTCACGATTGCAAACAGTAGGACACAATTGACTAAACCTTTGGATGCTTTTGTGAATCTGCTCTCTATGAGAGGTATGGCCACAAAAGGGAAAGGTGTGAGATGAAGGGACAACCATGTGGGGTTATGCCTGGTAAAACGAATATGGGGAAGGAAGCTAACCCTATGAAGGATGACAATGGGATGAATAAACAGAATAATGATACTGTTGCTCCTGAAGTGAATGATAATTCTGGTACTGACTCTCTCAAAGGGCCTTGGATGGATGTTACCCCTAGAAGAAAACCTAGAAATGATGGTAAGGATGCAAATGGGAAAGGCTCTACTTCTAAAGCTAACGGTTCTAGATTTGACACTCTGCGACAAGTTGATGAGAATTTTGGAAGGAATGAAAGGGATGCCAATACAGAGCATGTGCATAACCATATTCGATCTAGCTTTGTTGCTAATAATGCGAAGGGACTTGGGCCTAAGGTGTGGAGTAAATCGCAGAAGCCTAAGATTGCTGATAGGACATCTTTACATGATACTTCAATCCGGAAGATTCAAAGACAACAAGTTCTGGTGAGGCAAAAGTACTATAACAAAGTACTTTGTAATAGAAACTTATGTACACATTTTATAAATTAAAAATATATTTACAAAATAATGTACCTAGCTCGGATAAATGAGGTACATGTTACTTTGTAATAGAAAATTTGTACACTTTTTTTTATAAATTATAAACATATTTAAAAAATAAGATACCTATTTTTCATTATTTCTATATTAAAAAATAGGTATATATAGAATATAAGAACAATATGATCATCCCATGTTTTTTTTTTTTTTTTTTTTTTTTTTTTTTTTTTTTTTTTGGGGAAATATTTTTGCCAGCATAACCCAAACAGTTAAACCCATAATCAAAACCTATAATAAAATTAAATATGCAAATCAACCCCATTATAAACGGACAATTAATGATGATTGATTTGAAGACAAAATTTTTGGAGGGAATTACCACCATAAATTGGGGAACCAAAATTAAACAATACCACATAACACGTTGAATTTTAAATAGGGGTGTTTTGGAAATCTAAAAATTATAATAAATCAGATCATGAGCTTCACAAAGTAATTTGATGAGTTAGATCCTAGTCATGTGTTTTTACTTATACAAACTGGGCATTATTTATAGGAACAAAAAGTAAAGGGTTGTAGGTAAGAAAAATTGAATTTGAAGGGGATTAGCCAAGTTTAGTATTTAAAATTTTGGATATTTGGTAAAAACGAAACCCATGAATAGGGGCCTACAGAAATGTATGGTATTTCATTAGAAGTACAAATCATACAAAGAGGGAAAAAGAAAAGGACCAATTTCAGTTTCTTTTGGTGTCCAATTGAGATCATGTTCGATTCAAAGCAGAACTAACTCAAACCATAGTTTGTTTACAGCATAATTTATTTGAATGTTCTTTTGTTTTCCCTCTCTTATTGAAAGATTACAAAGTAGTTGATGCAAAGAATGTGAGCGAGGGAGAGATACAGAGGGTGGGAGAGAGATGCTGGGAAGAGGATAGAGAGGGAGGGGGGAGGGGGAGAAAAGAAAGGTGTAAAAGTCCCCTTTTTAATTTTTAGTTTTTAATTCCGACATAAAAGCTAACTAATGGCCCGTTTGAGAGTGATTCTGGAATAGTTAAAAGCGTTTTTTGAAAACCAAAAGCGCTTCTGACAGCGTTTAGCAGAAAAGTTTAGAAGCTCTTTTGGGCTATAGAAGCGCTTTCTAGAGAAGCACCTGCCATGTACTTCTTTAGAAAGCACTCCCAAGTGCTTTTCCAATAAGCACTTCATTTCTTATGAAAATTTCAACATCTTTATGATAAAAAACCCTTATAAGTATAAGTGTTTCCTAGAGAAGTAGTCCCAAACAAGCCATAAGATTCACCATCGGACAGATGTCACCTTTCAAGGGTGGTTGTGATCATACACCTATGGTTAATGTGGGTGAGCAAAAATAGAATGCTGCTAAACGAACCCTAAAATCAACTGAGCACACACTATGATCTAAGTACACTCTAATGTTTTAATTAAAATGTAAAATTAACTAAGTACAACCTATAGAACTACCAAAAATACCCCTAGTACACCCTAATACTTGTAGCATTATTTTTGCCGTAGTGGAGATATTGATAAAGCATTTGCTGTTGAGAAACACATGTTGGAGCATGATGTCTATCCAGAAGAGCCTGAAACTAGAGGCCCTCTTACGAGTGAGTGTGGGAGTCGGTAAAGGTCACAGGGTGTATTATATGCTGCACAAACTAAGAACAAGTGCAAGGATGGTCTCACCGTCTACTGCCAATTTAATTATGAACTGGTTTCATAGCAAAGAAGCTGAAAGAGTGGGACAAATAAAATGGGATCCAAGATTGATAAGGGAGGCAATTGAGAATGGAGGTGGGGGCTGGCATGGGCAGGGCTGGTTGGGAAAAGGAAATGGTTTGTGTTGCGTACAACTATTGGAGCTGATGGCTTGTGCAAATGCTGTGGGGAAAAATTGGCCACAATTGACCTTGATCCTGTAGAAACAGAAAACTTTGCTGAATCCGTTGCATCTATAGCTATAAAGAGAGATAGTATCTATACTTGTAGCATTATTTTATAGTTGATTTTCAGCTTGATTTTTTTAATAGTGTTTATAAATCTTTGACTTTTCGTATAGATTTATGCTTATACTAAAACTGTTGACACTTTTCTTGCAATTCCAAGTTCTTACAATCACTTTATATAGTTAGTAGAATGTACTTATTAAAATTATATTTGTTTTACAATTCCATATATTCTTTTTGGTCATTTTATATTAGGGTAAATCAGTAATTCAATATATACTTTTATAATATGGTGTATTCAGTTAATTTTAAGGTTCGTTTGGGGGGATTAGATGTCCTTGTGGGTCTTCCTTCACTTTGCACGGCAGATGCGCCTGCATCACAGACGATATACATAAGCTATCCTTGATTTCCTAGCGCCATTCTAAACGATGTTCGTGGCATCTTTTGGAACTGATATAGCCTTCTCTGCAAAACAAGGCAGTTGAAAGGCAGCATTGCGCATCTGCAAGAGTGAAAACTGAGGAAAGCAGATCCATTAGGGGTAATGGTCAAATTAATGGGTGCATTCAAAGCCCACTTAGATCAACCCTTCAATACATGCAATGGGCCAAATTATGGTGGATGAAAGGCTTCTCAACCGCCTTGGGCAATCCAGAGGCATTACCCAACTTAAAACCCTTATCATATTTTGGAGGGTGTATTTAATTGTGATTTTAATAGATTTTAATGCAATGGATCTCTTTATCGTTTGATAAGAGGTGAGATTCTCAATTGGACTGCCTTAATCATGGCCAGTTACCACCAAATTTTTATGTTTTATTAATATTATTATTTTGATCAAATAGAAACTTCATTAGGTAAACTTCAACAATACAATTACAGATATCATAATGACATCTAAGAACTAATCCCAAGACGGCAACAAACTAACATGCTGAAAACAAAACTAAAACGGATAAAAGCCGTACTAAAACTACTAGCTCACATCACTATAATTAAGCATAATCCCAAACAAAGCCTACAAGCTCAAAATAGATGAAACCCTAAACCAACCTAGGAGACTAAATCAACCCTACCACCACCACCTGAAGAAGTGTTGTTACGACCACACCCACTATCGTATAAAAACTTGAAGCGAGAACATCCATAACAGATCAATCTGGGAAAAATATGGTTAGAGTGAAACAATAAACCAAAGCAACAAACAACTTTGACAAATAACAATTGGGTGACTTCTCTACCCCTATCAAGCTACTCTTTGATCCCAAATCTGCAACTGTTGGATTTTGCTGTTTTTTGGACCTACGCCTATCAATTGCTACTCTTTGATCATCTCTGCCATGTGGTCTACATCATCCACTTGCTTCTTTCTTAAGATTAGTTCACATTGAATTTTCTTTCGGTCAAATTAAATCCACTCACAAATGGCATGGATTGATATTCTAGGGAGTTTCATATTAAAATTAGGAAGACCTTCTTGGAAGTCGGTTATTGTCATTAATAATCTTATTAAAGTCTAATTATAAAAGACCGTAATTAGGTAAAGAAAGCGTGTGCTCTGCAAGAAAAGCATGATTGCGTATGTGAGAGCGGTGGTCACTTAATTCATGTATATCATATCTTTTTGACAACTTTGTTCTATAACCCACTAGAAATCTAATGTTCTTGACAATGATGTTGTCTTTGATTTCAATGAACAGCGTTTTTATCATTGTCAACAATGATGTATGGGAAACTGAAAACATGTGTGAATGGAATTATACAAGAAATATATAATAGTGGGGGCTGGAGCAAGGGGTCCTAAAAGGCATCATTGAAATGGAGTCAATAGATGAAATGACCTGCTCAACCCAACTGCTGCAATAGTCAATACTCAAAATCTTTCCATGGAGATTGCAAGCAACAGAGAGATGTTGACCCCCAAAAACCTAAAGCAAGAAGCTTCTAGTGGAGACGGTGTGGTGGAGTTATCTGTTAAATTTCATTGGGTGGACTCACGGCCCACTACTAATAACATCGATATTGTTCCCAACTTGATCACGTATAAAATGCAATAGGTGTGTAGTTTTATCACAAAAGATCTCGATGATATTAGTGCAGTGAAACCAGATGTGGGACTTCAATATTCTTTAACACCGTAAACAAACCAACACGCTAAATTGGGACTTGAACTTGTTAAAAATGCATTCATATATTTGTGTTTTCAAAAAGATCCAATCCCAAACATCATTGCTTATAAGAAAGCAACCCTTTGAAAGCTCCATGAAGCTCTGACCAATGGAGCTTTCAAACCCAATTATATATTTATGCAAAAGCGAGTATAAGTAAGTGGGAGGTCGGTTTAAATTCAAGGACTTGGTAAAATGGCATATAGTATAATCATTAGAACCAGCACTTTGAGAGCTGAGGCTGATTTCAGTCGTTTGAATGCATGAGGCGGAATTTGATAACATATTTATCAGATTTTGTGTCCTTGCGGCTAATGATGAAAGCAACTTGTTAAAGACTTGAAGAGATGGGCCACGGCACACTAGGCTAGACTTGTAGAAGAGATGTCACATTTCTGTTTGACGATCATGCAGCCAATCCTATAACATTATTGAGATTGGAAACCCATCACAAAAGCATCCTTCCAGTAACAATAATCCTAATTTCTGGACACTTCAATGCATATCTCAACTTTCTAAATCTCAAATTATGGCAGAATTTCATTTGTTATTTTTTTTGACCCATTATGAAATCGTTTATTTACAATTAGTAAGCTACATAATGTTATGTAACACATCAGTTGGTGGTAGTAAAAAATTTGAATACTTTGATGCTTGTACTAAATAAAGAGAGATGTTACTGGTACTCGAAATATAGTGGGGTTTTGGAGTTTAGTGGAGTCTGATAGTAGCTCCCTTAATAGATATAGTGAATTCTTAACACTTTTTGGAGTTTAATGGTTGTCTAAGTCGATATTGGAACTCTAGGGTCCCGTTTGGTTCACTGAATGAATTTGAAGGAAAATCATTTCCTATGTTATTTCCCAATGGATGGGAAATGGAAGATTCATTTCCCACGTTTGGTAATGCTGAGAAAGTAACCTGGAAATATTACTTTATTTCATTTCCCATGTTTGTTTTGATTAGGAATGGAAAACAAAGTTTGTATAAATTTTCAATTATACCCATATTAAATCCAAAAAAAGAAAAGAATGTATTTAATGATATATTGTAATTCTAAATTATTAATGGAGACAACATGGTCATGAAAAATGTTTATTTGATATTGTCTCATTTTCCCAAACTTTACCATAAGAAAGGAAAACAAAACCTAAGTTGGGAGGACGGCTTCACTTTCCCCCTACTTTCTCATGGGCAAGGCAACGATTTCTCATGCATGGACATACCAAACATAGGAAAGCAATTGATTCCCCATCTCCAAGTTTCCTTTCCCATGAACCAAACGGGGCCTAAGTGTAAGAGGTTACTCGGTTCGAAACTTTCAACCTCTTCATCAACTGTAGTTAATTATGACATGATGAAAGGTAAGAACTTGATATATATATATATATATATATATATGCATTGTAAAAGTGTACCTTTTGTGTGTACGAGTAAAAATGTAAATATGTGCTACCCCATCACATAACATTGAGAATTTGAAAGCTATCATAAGTCAAACAAAGTATGGCAAAGATTCAAATATGCTCATATTATTCTTCTTTTCCAATATGGAGGTATTTATACAAGTACAAAGATCTGTTAACCCTAAATAAAATAAAAAATATATCTAAATTACAATAGGAAATAAATCTCTATTACAATAGAACTAAATAATAATTGGTAAGTAATCAAAATTCTAACTAAATAAGGACTCGCCAACATCATATTCACACAAAGAATGGAAAAAGGGACTATCAAAACAAAAGCAATCACTTCATGTGGCTTGTACTTCCTTGTTTGTTGCTGTTGTATTTCTTTTGGATCTGGCTTCTTGGCTGCTTCCCTCTGAAATGAAAGCACTGTTTCGGACAAAAAGAACAAAAGCAATCACTTCATGGTGCAGGTACTACTAATTTAGCTATAGGTTAATCGATTTATGATGGCTATAGACTATGGCCGTTGTTTTATAAGGCTTCAATTGTTTTTTTCCCTATATAGTCATTCCTAGCATGCATCAATGTATCGTTATTAACTATAAAATATTATAATCCCAAAATGCAGAAAATATTAGAATTTGAGCATCTAATAAAAAAGAGAGGTCCAAGATCTTTTAAATTATTAGGCAAAACTTTATTTGTCAATATAGAATGCGCACTCTTAACATGTCTCTTCACGTATAATTTCATTCAATTTAACATATAAATAATATATATTATGTGATGTAAAAGTACGTAAGTGATTGAGCTCAACACGTGAATAACATGTTTTAATACTATATTAGAATTTGACAATAGATTAAAAAAAACAACTCAACGTTTTTTAAACTATTAAGCAAGGCTTCAATTCCCTAGTGAGATTCACACTGTCAACAGAAAATTCATATTTTTCCTGCCAAATCTGGAATGCAATTAATTGGAAGCAATGTGTTGTTTTTTTAAAACCCAATTAAAAAAAACAAGGCGGCTTACTATAAATAAGACAATACCATTGTCTAGTGCTACATTACGATTTCATTGGCTAAAATAAAGATCGATTGATCTGAAACAATCAATCAACTAATAGGAATCGAGTGATTCACTTTCTTGTTTTTTAATTTTCACTCCATGGATAATGAATGTCATGATGTGATGTATATTGACCCAAAAAAAGTAGGGGTTCAAATCTCTCTCTGTCTTCCAAATCGAGGGTTTTAGGGTCATTGTCAAAATCCACTTTGCAAGACCAATACTATCTATGGAACTATGACAAATAATTCACACTGCTACCACAATGATAAAGGATAGAATTGTAACCGCTCATGCAATCATATGAAAAATAAAGGAG